CATTAGCACCTCTAGTAATATATTTACTGAGAAAAATGGTGACGTGTTCAATACTTATTTTACCCGCTGTATCCTTTGAGGATCGTCATCACAACATATGTGATATATATGTGAACAATTGCACGTCCTAATCTAGGTGTTAAATCAGGTGTTATAGCAAACTAGAAGCACACTGAGAGTGCAAACCCCCACCAAGACCAATTCCCCCATCCTGTAAGAGTTAATGCGCAAAAGCAGAGATGGAAACACATTTGCTGAATAAGTTTTGACGTAGCGAACATTTAAGTAGGCAGTATGCACGGAATTTCTTCTCGGTGGAGTCCAATGTGAAAAAAAAAGTCAGACTCATGACCTGACGTTATTCATTGTCAAATTGGTGTCGGATTAAGCTCCTATGTTTTCATCAGTCTCACTTCACGTCTGTTTTATCCCCTTGTATGAGTTTGTAATGGTTTGACTCTCTTTATAAAATACTTCCTGCCCCCACCCCCCAACTTTGAGGCCCGGCAGCTCTCTGTTTACAAGCCTAGTAGCAAGAAACTGTTTTGATTGGTTGTTTTGGAAACGTGGTGTGTTTGAGGAAATGGAAAAATAGGTTTCATGGTACAGTCACGCACTTCCTGGTCACAAAACGTTCTCTAAATGCGCATATTATGGCAAAAACTATTCCTCATTATTTCAACATAAAGTTTGAAGTCCGTGCTGTCCAATCCAGCTCACTGGTTTTTTACAGAAGCCCTGTGAAAKCATCACAGCTTTGCCGATCTCAGAGTGTTAAAAGAAAAAAAGATTCCTATATTCGCATTGTGATCCRGAACATCACCAAAATTTAAAGGTGTGTTCCTTGGCCCAGTACCCACATGTGGTAAAAATGTCATGACAATCTGTCCACAAGTTTCTGAGTAATGTTGTCCACAGAGAGAACAACAGACAGACAGACATACGCGACCGAAAACATTCCCTTGCCCTTGGTGGAGGTAAATATTCTTGTAACATGCACAAAAAAAGAGGTAAAATTGGTGCAGGTTCATTGTCAACAAGATGGCAGCATAACTTAAAGTGTTATTCAACTTATCTGTTAAAAACTCCTGTATTTTTTCGCAATATCCTTTTTTTTTTTTTCCTAAACCGTGTTTGAACCAGGCTGTGTTTTGAGAAATATAAAACCCTTTAAAACRCAGAAAAACAGCATAAACAAATAACTATCAAGTGGTGGACAATACCCAGAAGTGATCAGGTTAGTGCCGGTTTTCTCAGCTCCACAGACCTCCTGGACTTGAACTGTAAACAGGCTCAGACTGTCTGACGTCCTTTTATCTGACCACCGACTGCCAGACCCCACAAGGCAGGCCTCTGAGAAGACCAGAGCTCAGAAAACTGGTCAGTGACAGAGTGGCATTCCCCAGACCTCACAAACAAACAGCCACTAAAGTGGCACTTAACATGGCCACAGACCCACAACAAATACCCTGGACGCTGACCCTTCCTACACAACATTTTCGACCAGTGCATTTCCAGTTCTCCCACTTTAAAACTTGATAACACGCTACTGATCTTTAGGCCTAAGCAGTCATTTAAATTCGGTCCAGCAGTTCATGGTGTTTCCCATTAAATGCGTCACAACATATCAGGTGTTGTCTTCACAGAGCAAATTCTAATGCCCATTCACTTACTTACAAAGCCAATAAAACTATTAGGGAAAAAACAAATTGATAAGATACCTGATTGAATTTTTTTGTGTGGGATTGAATGGAGTTGATTGGGAGGTGGAACAGTTCACACATCCTGCAGTTCAAACAGGAGAATTACCTCTTGGGGTGGGGGGTGTCTTCAGCCGGCTTTAACACCTTTGTAATGAAGTTTGCACCCTCTCATCAGCAAGTTCACAAGCTTTGAATATGCATGCATAAAAAACACATTTCCTGTTTGGTTTTTAATATTCCACACTGGAGTTAAAGCACACCAAACACTCTTTAGGGTCTTGTATGCTTATAAAAAAAAAAGGAACACATGTAATGTTTTAGTATTTTTTTTCCACAGACAACAGGATCAGACCAGAAAAAACCCACGCTGTGATTTTGGCTCTCCCTCCTGCTGGTSTGAGATTGTGATGTTAATGATGCCCAACATGCAATGATGGGACACATGATGAAGCTAAAACAGATCCTCCCAAAAAGCCAGATAGCATGAAAAAAAAGAAGAAATAAAACTTGAGGGGGAGTCACAGCTAGCTGAAATGTCGTGAGCCTTTGAAAAGCACTGGAAAACCAGGCATTGTAATTGTCATTCTTTCGGTCTGACGTTCATCACTTTTATCAGCAAATAACATCTGGCTGAGACGTCCACTTCAAGTGTCCAGGCTGAGCAGCGGAAAACTCAGCTTTGTCGCGAAAACGAGACGTGAAGTCATCGATATTTGACTGAAAAGGTGACAACTCGACGACTGCTTGAGTGCACATCACGAAACCTTCATCAGCAAACAAAAAAAAACTTTTCCACGTCGCATTTATTTGTACAACACGCATTCAGCATCAACTTGATCATATCAGACAACTCACCTTGCGGATTTCTTCTTTTTTGTCCCCCAAAAAGTGCTTTATTTGGGCTCGGTAAGTGGCGCAGCTCGAACTATTCTGCCATCTCCCGAAAATTCACCGACAAGACCCGATTTGTTTTCCAAACTAGTYTGAAAAGCAGAGCCTCCATGACGCCAACATTATCGTCCGTCGGTCGCTGGTGGGAATTTAAAAAAAGGGGGGACGACTCTCACTCGATGCTAGCTTTAAAAACGAAGCAAATTTGAAAACACATTCTGTAATTATTATTTTTTTCTTCACTCAGAAATGAACAACATCCAGGAGCTTCACAAGTCTCTGCAGCTTGGCGGCRGAGAGGCAAAAAGCCAGGATTGGTGGAGGAAGTTACCTTACAGCGACTTACTACTGTACTCAAAGCCGCATCAAGCGAGATGACCTACATTCTGACTTCCGGTTTGGAGTTTCAAAATAAACAAAAAAAGTTGACGGGGATCATGTTTACATATCCTGCCTGATCAGTGCACACTATTGTTTTCCTGTTTCTCTTTATTACTCAACTTATTCCGTCTTCTTCCATGTCGCCATGCTACTCCTCCTGCATACTTTGTCCCACAGCTGCCATTGTAATTTCTATCTGTAAAGGTCCTGTGCCAAATGATTGCTATGCCTTCTGGTGCCTGTACAACTTGTAGTTTTTTGAAATATTAATGTTTAAACTTTATTCCAAAATTCATATAATGGGAGTCAATGGGGCCTTGTAATGGTCCAATACTGCCCCGTGCTGGACTCAACTTGGTACTGCTCCATTCTTTAATAGTATTTAATCTCAATTGTTCAGTGTTTACAGTACTAATATGATTGCATTTTGATGTTTTACTATAATATTGTCTTAATACTGCTCTACTTTTGTAATATATTGCACTTAAGTGTCAATAATTGCATTGGCAAGGTAAGCTTTTTCTGTATACATACAATCCAATCCC